GAGGGGAAAGTTAGGCTTAGAGAAGCAGAAGGAAGTTTAAGTAAGGAAGTGAAAACCCAGGAGGTATGACTGGTCAATTTGAAATGCTATCTTTTCTGCCCTGTATGACCTTGAAGTAGGCTTCCCACCTATGTGAATTTGTGGCATCGTATAAAAATAAACAATAATATTGAACATTTCCTGTGCATTTTGTGGTACGTGCTGTGCTGGTGTTTTATTTAACCTGCTCAGCAGCTCTGTGAAGGAGGTGGAATTATGGTCCTCATTTTCAAAGAGAGGAAACTGGGACTTAGAGAAGCCAAGTAAATTCAGGTCACACAACTAGTAAATAACAGAATGTGAATATGAACTCACTTGTTTAACTTCAAAGCTTGTGTTCAGTATTGTGGTCTTATTTGTTGCATGGACATGGACAAGTTATTTAATCATGTTGAAGCTCTGTTTTCCCATCTGTAAAACAAACTACAACTACCTTATAATAGAGAGGAATGATGAAGCATCCCACAAAGTCCCCAACTTACCGTTCGTGCTTTGTAGATAGTACTAATTACTCTTTCTGGGTCATTTCTTTCTTAGGATAGTAAAACAGTATGTAAGAGGAGCTCACTTCCTAAAATGACTGAAAAAAATTTACCTTTGGGTCTTTCCTGGTAAAGTAGGATGGGCAAGCTCAAGGCTCCAATTCCATTTTCTTTTACATTCTCCTCCAAACCCCCACAATCTTTCCTATCTGCTTGCTAAAGACTGGACTTCCTTTTCAAAAGAAGACTTATTGTAATCTATGATTACAGATAAAAGGATTAAAATACAGCTCTTCCTAGGGATGAGTTTTAATCTGAGTACAGATAATTGATATTAGATCCTTTCCTACCAAAGTTAATGGGGAGGCTTAGTAAAGATAACACTCTCTTCAAAAGCAAACAGTTTTCTGGTTTTCCTTCATTTCAGCATCAGTGAACAGACCTGAACTCACAGGTAGTTCCAACATGTAGAGCCATGTGTGCTTGCAACTAAAGTGAAACCACAAAGTAATGTTTTTGAAGAAGCACACAGCTACAATTAAGTCTGTGGAAAATTGGATTGGATAGCAGTACTGAAAAATGCATTTAAAGATCAAAAAAGAAGCATTTGCTTGTGATTAGTTTGATTTATACTGAACTCAACCCAGGAGCCTCCCACAACTGCTTCCTTCCTACGCTGTGCATTTATGATATACACACATACTTCTGGCTGCCATGTTCAAGATGTACTAATGACAGAAAGTTACTATTGCTTTAAACAAATGTAAGCTATTCAGACTTGAGATTCAACAGTGAAACAAACAAAGAGCTATGCAAATAATGAATGACTTTGTAGTCTTTCCTTAGCCGCTCATATTCATAATGCTACATCCTACCCAATTAAGAGGAAAGCAATGTTATCTTTCTAATGAGTGGTTCTGGGGATAAATGAAGCTCATAGGAATATTTAGTTAAGTGCTGCCTTTTTACAAGTCCTAAATTTGTTTTTCTGTGTATTGGGCATTTCCCACTATATATAGCATTAGTTCAAGCTCATCATGCCCTTAAGTTTACGATATATAAGTAGGAAGCTGGGGTAGAGAATAATGAAAATGGTTAGAGATTCCAAAAAGACATCAGTGTCAAAAACTCAAGATGATTAATATTACCAAGCTGAAAAACTGTAAAAAAAAAAAAAAAAAAAAAAACCACACAAAGGAGTTTGTATGGCATTTTAAATATATGAAAAATTGTTCAGATGATGCTTTGTTTCCATTGTGCTAATTGTTTGAGAAAGAATTGAGATTCAGTACAGTTAATTTCATAATACTTATTGTACTAAGTTGCTAAGGGAAGTTGTGTAAGTTTTAGAAAACCTACAATATTCAAGGCTCTTGGAAAAGAGCAAATTATAAAACATAACCCTGATCTTATGGAGCTTGTTTTGAAGTTGGAAACAGATTGGTGACAAATTATAGATGGCTTTTTTTTTTTTTTACGTTATAGGACGCAGAAGACATTTGCAGTTTTTCTACTCTCATTTTATAAAGAGAGTTAATATGATTAGAACCCTCCAGTATGAGAGGTAATGGGGCCACCATTCGGGAATGTAAAAGACAAATATGGAGAATGTGAAGGTAGGGAAGGTCTGTAGAAAACTCCAGTGGAAGACAAGTAGGCTATAGGCAGGGTCAAGGTGAAAGATGAGCAAGACTTGGAGTATCACAGGAGAGGAATGGAAGGATGGACAGATTACATTTACATTGGTACATTTAGAAATATTCCTAGATGTAGTACTTAAAGAAGGGGCAGAATCTATGTGGCTATGGGATTCCTGTGCTCCATGATCTGAAAATAAGGATGACAGAATAAAAGCAGTTCTCGAAAGAAAGGTAATTCTAAGAAATTGGTTTTGAACATCTTGAGATGATAGAGTCTCAAGAGATCAAGTATGTAAGGGGAGCAGAATAAGAAAAGTTATTTGGTTATGATATTGTCTTTGATTCCATTACCTTCTACATTACCTTTATATTACTACTAACTAGGAGTATTTAAGTTGCTTCTTTTGGGTACATTTAGAACAAGTACCCATAGATTTCAGTGTTTCTGTTTTAAGACTACTTTAGGTGAGGATGGTGAGGTAATTTAACTGCATTCTGTATCTGGTTATTATTTTTTATTTTTAAAAATTTATTACATTTTATTATTATTTTTTGAGACAGAGTCTCACTCTTGCTCAGGCTGGAGTGTAGTGGTACAATCTTAGCTCACTGCAGCCTCCGCCTCCTGGGTTCAAGCAGTTCTCCTTCCTCAGCCTCCTGAGTAGCTGGGATTACAGGCAACCACCACCATGCCCAGCTAATTTTTGTATTTTTAGTAGAGACAGGGTTTCACCATGTTGGCCAGGCTGGTCTCGAACTTCTGACCTCAGGTGATCCACCTACCTCAGTCTCCCAAAGTGCTGGGATTACAGGTGTGAGCCACCAAGCCACAATCACCTGTACCAAAATCACCTGGAGTGCTTGTTGAAAATACTGATTTCTATGCTGAATCAGAGTTTCTGGAAGGAAAAACCAGGAGTTATATTTGCTGAAGTTCTCTGCGGTTATTATGACTCATAAATTTTTTTTTTAATACCTGCCCTTCTTTGCTAAAATAAAATCTAGGATGACTTATGTTTATATTTTCTTTTGTTATAAAAATTTCAAATTTCAATTCATTTGTTCATTTGCTGATTTTAGTAGGAAATAGATGTCCCTTTGTGTCACAGAAGTCTCCCAGATTTGACTTTTATTTTAGGATTAAACCTAGAACTTTGTATAGGTAGCAGCTCACAGATAAACTTTTAAAACTAGCAGGGACCTTAGAAGGCCTTTAAGATCATCCGGTGCAGGCCCCGCATTTCTCAGATCAATGATCTGAGGTCAAGGGAATAATAATACATTAATAGCTAAAATTTGTTGAATTATATTATCTGTATGTAATCATGATAACCTGATAGCATAAGTGAAATGACCTTCCCAAATCCCAGAGAAAGTGGTATATAGCTCACTTTCAGAACTGTTTTCTTTAAATGTTTTCTAAAATCACTAGTTTTTTTTTTTTTTAACTGTGATAAAATTATATAACATAAAAGCTAACTGTGTTTACCATTTTATTTTATTTTTTATTTTTTGGGAGGAGACGGAGTCTTGCTCTGTCACCCAGGCTATTGTACAGTGGAACGGTCTTGCCCCACTGCAGCCTATGTCTCCCGGGTTCAAGTGATTCTCCTGTCTCAGCCTCCTGAGTAGCTGGGATTACAGGCAGCCACCACCATGCCCAGCTAATTTTTGTATTTTTAGTACAGACGGGGTCTCACCATGTTGGCCAGGTTGGTCTTAAACTCCTGACCTCAAGTGATCTGCCCACCTCGGCCTCCCAAAGTGGTTCATTATTTTAAAATGGTGCATTCACTGAATACTCACAGTGTTGTGCAACCTTCCTGACTATCTATTTCTAGAACTTTTTCATCATCACAAACAGAAACTAAGATTTTAGTTTCAAGTACTAGAGGAATACTGGTTATTTACTTGCTTTTTTAGGCCTAGTCTCACTCATCTTCTAGCAACTCAGTATTCAGTGTGATCTATTTGTACTTACTGAATGCTGTGAGTTGTCATTTCAATTTGAATGGTTTCTTTAATTTGTACTTGATTTATATTTCTGGGTATCTATGAAAAGTTTACTGTCACTCATCCAGTGCAATATTACATCTGCTTCTTTTGGGGCAATGAAATATATACACCCGAAATTTGAAGGAGAGCAAAGTAAATAATGTAAACACATAGAAGATTTTATTGAGCATGGGAAGAAAGACTAAGGATTCAGGACTGATACATACAAAAAAGTCTGGTTGTCTCAGATACAAAGAGTTTCCCTTCTGAGAATGAATGCCTAGAGCAGGAAGCGCACCCAGTATAAAAGATACTTGGGCTTGGAATCTGAAAGACTGAAATTCCCGAACCCTGCATATGAACTGGGCTCAACAGGAAGAATTGTTTAGCAGATCTTCCCTCTCTATTCCTCTTTGTGCTCAAACAAAAATACAGCTGTTAAAAGAGTTTTAAAAAATTATTTCTAAAAGAGTATAAAAACCCCATTCAGATTGCATTCTTTTTATTCTGCTAAAATGTGAAGTTTTTATTGTTACTTCTCTTCTTGATTCATAAAAATCATATAACTACTGTTGCTCAATGAAGAAATGATCAGGGAATCTTTATCAGAAAATTATTTCTGTTTTTTTAAAAGAGAGCAAATAAGAATTTAAGAAAATAAACATGAAAATTATTTGAATTTTAACTTTACATGCTAAAATTCTTTACATGTTAAACGAGATAGTTTTGTGTTCCTTTAGTAGTATATTAATATACTTTTGGTACAAGAAAAAGTATAATTTTTATCAGCATTTATTAGTCTTTTTCAAAGAGTGACACGCCTAATGAAATATATTTATTACAGCTAAAAGATGGCGGCAAGGCAGCCCAGGCAAATGTAAGAATAGGTGATGTGGTTCTCACCATTGATGGAATAAGTGCACAAGGAATGACTCATCTTGAAGCCCAGAATAAGATTAAGGGTTGTACAGGCTCTTTGAATATGACTCTGCAAAGGTAAGTTGCTTTTTATTTGTCCCTGAAAGAGAAAACAACATTGAGGAATGTGTTTTTGTGTGTCTGATTCATGATGTTAACTAAGACTCAGTTTCTGCTACCATCATTTCAAGTAAATAAATAAAAAATAATAATTGTTCTTAAATTGGATAATTGAGCAGCATGAGAATTGCTGAAAGGTATGAGTTATTTCCCCATCAAAAGGCATGTATTCCCATACTAATGAAAATTGTGTGGGCCTGTAATCATAATACTTTGGGAGGCTAAGGTGGGAGGATTGGTTGACCTAAGGAGTTTGAGACCAGCCTGGCCACTATAATGAGTTCTTGTCTCTATAAAACGTAAAAAAAATTAGCCAGGTGTGGTGGCATGTGCCTGTAGTCCCAGCTACTCAGGAGGCTGAGGTGGGAGGATTGCTTGAGCCCAAGAGGTCGAGGTTGCAGTAAACTATGATTGTGCCACTGCACTACAGCCCGGGTGACAGAACGAGACCCTGTCTTAAAAAAAGAAAAAAGAAAAGAAAATTGTATATACATTTCAGAGAATTCAGGAATTTTTGAAATTTTTCAATGCAGTGCAGGCTAAGAATTCTTTTTGTTAAGTAAAATTCTGAGCAGTATATTAAAGGGTATTCTTTTAGGGTATGATATGGCTTTCCTTAGTTTGTCCTTTTCTCTTTTTTTTCTGAGTAGAAAAATAATTTTTAATGGATTCATTTGAAGGCTGAACTTTTTGAATTTACTACTTTCTAAAGTCAGTCTGGCCACAGTTATAAAATAATTAATCATCACATTATTTATAAAATATCAGGTATTTTGAGCATCCCATCATTTGAAACCTGTACCAAAATCACCTGGAGTGCTTGTTGAAAATACTGATTTCTATGCTGAATCAGAGTTTCTGGAAGGAAAAACCAGGAGTTATATTTGCTGAAGTTCTCTGCGGTTATTATGACTCGTAAAGTTTGATCACTATAGTATCCTGGGTTAAAGGCAAGGGAGGAGAAAGAGGGAATGGAAAGTGACCGGATGGTAGCTGTGAAACCTTCAGCTTTATGAAGAAGGTAGCTTGATCATATATGAGGTAGTTATGGAGAGTTTTAAGCAAATCTTGTTTCTGATGATTATGAAAAGTGTTCTGAATTCTATTAAATTTGGAAAACACCATTTTCTCCCTCCCCACTCTATTCCATTATTATATTGCATACGATTGTCTTAGTCTTCTATAAATTGTCATGCATATTATGAATCTTTAAGAAGGAAATAGCCTGTGTGCCATGGCTCACACATGTAATCCCAGGACGTTGGGAGGCCGAGGCAGGTAGATTACCTGAGGTCAGGAGTTTGAGACCAGCCTGGCCAACATGGTGAAACCCAGTGTCTACTAAAAATACAAAAGTTAGATGGGTGTGGTGGTGCATGCCTGTAATCCCAAATTGATACTCACTCAGACAGGTAAATATAAAAGTAGAAAGTATAATCCCTTTACTTGGGGGCCAAGACAGGAGAATCACTTGAACCCAGGAGGCAGAGATTGCAGTGAGCTGAGATCATGCCACTGCACTCCAGCCTAGGCAATGAAGTGACACTCTATCCCTGCCTCCAAAAAACAAACAAAAAATTTTAAAAAGAGGGAATTAAAACATTGTACCTTCCCAATGTATTTGGATATGGAAACTTTTTCGTGGAGCCTATCCTAGGAGTAGTGTTTTATGAAAAACACTTAGGTATTGCTTCTATGTTTTTTTGCAACTGCTGTCTGAGGGATTGCTAGGGAAAGGATTTCTACAGGATAAATTATATTTACCTCTCTGAGTGAGTATCAGTTTGGCATTAAAACTGAATAGGATGTGGTTTTTACAAACTTAGACTGATGTGGACATACAGATCTATTTTGACGTATCATGAGTTTCTAACCAGTTTCCTCTTCAGGGTCTTTTTAAAAAAGTTTTTTTTAAAAAAATTCTTTTTAGTGGGACTGCTGAATCAATGTTTATATGTATTTTAAATTGTGATAGGCTATTAGCTTTACATTTTAATGCATAGAAAAGTAGTCAATGAGAAAGGTAATTGGTTGCTAAAAAAATTTGTTTCATTAGTATTCTTCTGTTCTCTATATTGAGACATGTAACGTGAAAGTTGTTACTAATCCAATGAAAGTTATCATTTTTATTTTACCAATTATAAATTTTGAAGGGAAATCAAGGGTCAAGAAGCTTAACTTACTTGAGATATGAAGAAAGCAAAAACAAATAGAGATGTTGACAGGGTGTTTTACACATTCTAAAACTGGAAGTTTATGTAAGGATATGAGCTCTTTCATGGGTTGCATATAATTTCTTTCATACCAGCCTGCTTGCTTTCACATTGTGCTGCTTATTTCATGACCAAGGAACCAGTATCTTATTTTCTATTGAAAACACTCTGGGCCCCATAAGAATAGATAAAAACCAGATGTTGCCCTGTTTAGATGGCGTTCCAATTTAAGGAATCTGCTACTGATTCTAATAAAGATTGTTTTAGGCTGCTTAAATACCAAATCTAACAAACCAACTTACAAAATTGACTCGTTACAAACATCTTAATCGTATCTTCTTATTTCTAAATAATAGACATTCAGGGACCCAAAATATTGTAGAGTCCCATTGTTATTCACTGAAGTTCTCTTCAAGTTTTTGAACACTTCTTGTGTTAGGTAATGTCAGCTTGTTTTGATAGTGTGTGTGGTTAACAAATTTCATAGTATAACATTGACAGTGCTACTGAAGAAATACTTTTGCCTTTTAAGGAAAAAGTACAACTTTGAAGAGATATCTTTGATTCTTCTCTATGCCAGGATCATTCTCTCCTTAAGTTTTCTCTCTTATATCCAAGCAAGTATATTTTCTGAATTTGAACAGCACTTTTTTTTTTTTTGACTCAATCTCGCTCTGTCACCAGGCTGGAGTGCAGTGGCACAATCTCGGCTTACTGCAGCCTCCACCTCCCAGGTTCATGGGATTCTCCTACCTCAGCCTCCCGAGTAACTGGGATCACAGGTGCATGCCACCATGCCTGACTGACTTTTTTTGTATTTTCAGTAGAGATGGAGTTTTATCGTGTTGGCCAGGCTGGTCTCGAGCTCCTGACCTCAAGTGATTTGCCCGCCTCAGCCTCCCAAAGTGCTGGAATTACAGGCATGAGCCACTGCGGCTGGCCTGAACAGCATTCTTTATTGACCTCTGGTCACTTCTTCATCCCACTTCTCACCAAGAATTCAGACTGCTCTGAATTCTTTCAAACTGAATTACCTGCAAGAGTAGTTTCTTAGTCCAACTCTTTCCTTCATAAACTTGAAGTTTTCTGCATGAATATGTACTACTATCATTCACAGACTTGGCTTAGTTCAGTTTCCTAGAGCAGAGCCTGAGATGGAGATTCTTGTGTAAGTGATACAGTAAGGGAGTCCTTTAAAATGTTACTTGGAAGGGAGTGAGTGACACAGTGTTGGGAAGCAGAAGAAACTGAGATGAGCAAAGGTGTGATTTCAGGTGATATCCATCTTCACTTGATTCAGCAGGAAACTTGGGAACAAAATTGCACTACAGAGAGTTGATCTTGCCTTGAGGCAATGAAACTGGGCTTTTGTACCCCCTTCCTTGTATTGATTAGTTATTTAGCCGTCAGCTGTCCTGAAAGTATGTTGTGTGAGTAAACAGAGAGAAGAGGAGTAGGAGGTAGCTTCTATTGCTTCCAAAGAAAATTACTGGTGTGGTGGCTCGGCGTGGTGGCTCATGCCTGTAATCTCAGCACTTTGGGAGGCAAAGGTGGGCAGATCACCTGAGGTTGGGAGCTCGAGACTGGCCTGACCAACATGGAGAAAGCCTGTCTCTATTAAATATATAAAAATTTACCTGGGTGTGCTGGCACATGCCTGTAATCCCAGCTACTCGGGAGGCTGAGGCAGGAGACTCGCTTGAACCCAGGAGGTGGAGGTTGCAGTGAGCTGAGATCATGCCATTGTACTCCAGCCTGGGCAGCAAGAGTGAAACTCTGTCTCAAAAAAAAAAAAAAAAAATTACTGGTGTGACCCATTAGCAGCAATGGAAGAAACACCTGAGGGAGGGGCGTAGCATACTGTTAGGAGGGTTCCAGGAGATCCAAGCTGGGCACAGACAACAGCACATGCTATGAGATTCTATCCAGACTAAGCCCTCTGCTCAGAAGGTTATGTTCTCCATAATCAAGTTCTCCTTTCGTTAGACTGTCCAGATCACGACCACTCATCACTGAATGTCCTCTCTTCCGTTTAGGATAGGTTTCTCACCATCCTTCCCTTGCCTTTATGCCCTCTCATGAAGTTCACTTCATCTGAAATGCCCACCACCTGTTCACTGCCAGTGTATGCCTTCACATCCACTAACCCACATCGAATGTCTCCTGCCCACAGTCTGTTCCTACTATTGCACCTCATTCCTTTTCCGATTCTGAACTTGTAGGAAATAGTTTATGCCATTCAGTTCAGCATTTAATTACACACAAAGTATAATCAGGACTAACAAGGGCAATTCCCTGAGTCTTACACAAATAAACCTAATTAGCTAATAGTCATACCTAGCATTGCCTATGTTATTCACTAATTACCCCATGTATATTAGTCCTGGTTCTCCAAGAAGACTCTTTAAGAACAAGGGCCATGTTTTTTTTTTTTTTTACTCTATTTGTATTTGACAGCATCTTATATAGTAGTCTATTTTTGATAGACATTGATATTATTTCCCAAACTTAGAATCGTTTATCTATTTTGCTAATACTTCTTGAACTCTTACCATGTGCCAGGCACTGTTGAAGATGCTGCGGACATAGCAGTGAGAAAACCAAACAAAAATCTCTGCTTTCATAGTACTAGCATTTTAGAGGACTGAGACAGATAATACACGAGTCAGCAGAATATGTAATATATCTTGTGTGCATAAATGTTATAGGGAAAAATAAAGCATGTGAGGGACATAGGGAGCATCT